CACAGCTCAAGGAAACCATTCTCTATCAACACCAGGATTCTTCCTCACAAGTACTATCTAGAAGTATTGCAGGACCCCTCAAACTCCAGGAGACCACGCACACACTCACACACACACACACACACACACACACACACACAGCCTGTTGCACAGTCAAATACATTACCAAGATATTCCAGCTCTCTCTCTACTTGAGTGTCAAAGAATGGGTCTTCATTCTCTGAGTCCAGCTTCAGAAAGAACCATTCTCTCTCTTGAGAATGAAGTTCTCTGAGAATTAATGTCCAGTGTTATTTGGTGCTGGTCTGCGGCCCAGATGGGCCATTATGTGTCAGCAGCTCTAAAAGAAGAATTGAAATCAATGCTTTTGTGTGTGTGTGTGTCTACAGTTTATTTCTTAACTCTTACAAGAAAAACCCAGACCTCAGGCTCCAAGACTTGCAAAGATTGTTTTTCAGAGGCAGGCAATGACAGAAGTGAGGTCAGTCTCTTCCTTACGGTTAGGAAGTGTGATCTCACTGGAAAACTAGGTCTGGGAACACAGCCATGACAGAGCCTGAAGAGGTTCTAGAGTGAATCCAGGCATTCTTCTCTGCATCTGCAACACCAACATGAAAAGCTTTTCTTTGCTCAAATCATCCCCTGAGCTGCACGTTATCATGTGAAAACATGTACCTTGCTGTAACAGCTTCTGGGAATGTCTACTGAGCTGAAAACTAAATAACTTTTTCATACTGAAGATCGGTAGAGAAAAAACTGAAATTCAGTTTATAGTAATATTGTTTAGGAAAGCTAAGATGAATGAATAAATACCAATAGACTAGAAATGGGAATAATGCTTGAAAGTATATCCCATGTGGGGTAGCAATGGATAGCAAAAAATAAGCAAGCAGTTGTTTAAAATGGACCAATAAAAATGATCAAGTCATCTCAATTGTCAGTTTTCTGTCGATAGCTAATAATAGCTATGGATTTAGAGTTTTGATTTTTAAATTCTTGAATAACACCAAAACTTGACATCTGAAAAATGTTTTTTGGATTTTTTAGCTTTCAAAAAACTGAAATAGTCCGGGCGCGGTGGCTCATGCCTGTAATCCTAGCACTCTGGGAGGCCAAGGCAAGAGGATTGCTTGAGCTCAGGAGTTTGAGACCAGCCTGAACAAGAGTGAGACCCCGTCTCTACTAAAAATAGAAAGAAATTAGCCATATAACTAAAAATCTGTATAGAAAAAATTAGCCGGGCATGGTGGCGCATGCCTGTAGTTCCAGCTACTCGGGAGGCTGAGGTAGAAGGATCGCTTGAGTCCAGGAGCTTGAGGTTGCTGTGAGCTAGGCTGACACCACGGTACTCTAGCCCTGGCAACAGAGCAAGAGTCTGGCTCAAAAAAAAACAAACTGAAATAGCTCCTTTACGACAGTTTCTGGGTGCTCACTGAAAGAATCGCTTCCAATCAACTCTCTTCTCAATGACTTGTCAGTAATCATTTTTGGTATAACCTAGAAAGTAACAGAGGCATCCTTTATTGCAACCCATTATACAGGGCTTTAAAATTCTTTTTTTTTTTCCTTTTTGCCTAAACAACAACAATTTATTGTCTCCCTGTTCTAGAGGCTAGAAATGTGAGATCAAGGCACCACCAATCATGAGAGATCCATACCCTTTGCCCAAACACCTTCTACCAAGCCTCATCTCCCTCACTGGAGATCAAATTTTGACATGAGATTTGGGTGCAACAAATATCCAAACTATATCACTTATGTTCTAGAAAGTCTGACCTTAAGGACCCGTGAGCTGAAGAGGCTTTAAAATGAGCCCATTTTCTCTAAAGCTTTTGGAAGCAAGATTGACTCAAGCAAATTTAGGTCAACTATTAAGAGATACAGATATTCTAGGAAACCATGGTTACAACCCATAGCTGCAACCAAAGCCAACCTTGAACATGCAGCTGCGTGACCAGCTGTTTCAGTCACTACACTCAGCTGCCTCTGCCTCTCACACTGCTGGAGAGAAAGTAAATTGGTATAATCTTTTTTGGAGGGCAGTTGGTATTACCCATCAATATTTAAAGATATTAATCCCATTACATTAAAAAATTGTTCCATAGAAACATTGTTACAAGTGTGGAAGAATATAATATAAGGATGTTTACTACAGTCTGAAAATAATGAAAAACTGCAAACACTTAAAATTCCACCAGTGGGGGATGCATTACAGTACAATGGAACACAATGCAGTTATTTAAAAAAGGTACTAAAGAAAAGCAAGTTGCAGAACAATTTGTAGGGCATGATCTCATTTTTATTAAGTGAAATACATGTAAATTTATGTATCTATGAATAGAAAACAGAAAGGAGACCATGTGATTATTAGTAGTGGTTACCTCTAGAGTAGGGGAGGAGAGGGGCTATAGTAAAAATTAAATTTAAAAATACCTGAACAATTTAATTCTTTATTTAAATAAGAAAAAACAAAAAAAGACAAAAATTCCCATTTACAAGGGGTAAAAATACATTGAAGACTGTCCAGCTTGGATGGTGTGGTGGCTCACACCTGCAATCCTAGCACTCTGAGAGGCCAAGGCAGAAGGATCGCTTGAGGTCAGGAATTCAAGACCAGCCTGAGCAAGAGTGAGACCACCCCGCCCCCATCTCTACTAGAAATAGATAAAATTAGCCAGGTGTGGTGGCACCCAGCTACTCAGGAGGCTGAGGCAGGAAGATAGCTTGAGCCCAGGAGTTTGAGTTTGCTGTGAGCTAGGTTGACACCATGGCACTTTACCCCAGGTGACAGAGGGAGACTCTGTCTCAGAAAAAAAAAAAAAGTATATGGGAGGATATGTGTAGGTTATATGCAAATACTACATCATTTTATATAAAGTACTTGAGCATCTGTGAATTTTGGTATCCACGGTGGGGGGTGGTCCTGGACCCAATTGCTCATGGATACCAAAGGACAACAGTAACCCATTTAAAAATGGGCAAAGGACTTAAATAGATGTTTCTCCAAAGATGATATACAAATGGCCAAGAAGCATATGAAAAGATGCTCAACATCACTAATTATCAGAGAAATGCACATCAAAACCACAATATCACCTCACACCCATTAGAACGGCCACTATCAAAAAATTAAAAACATGACAAGTGTTGGCAAGGCCGTGAAGAAATTGGAACCATTGTACATTGTTGGTAGGATTGTCAAATGGTACGACCACTTTGGGAAATAGTATAGAGGTTCCTCAAAAAATTAAAAATAGAATTACCATATGACCCAACAATTCCAATTCTGAAATTTTCTCCATTCTGTAGGCTGTCTTTTCACTTTACTGATAGTGTCCTTTGATTCATATAAGTTCTAATTTTGATGAAGCCAGTTTATTCTTTTGTTGGTTGTACTTTTGGTGTTATATCTAAGAATCCATTGCCGAATCCAAGGCCATGAAGATTTACTCCAATATTTTCTTCTAAGAGTTTTACAGTGTTAGCTCTTACATTTAGGTGTTTGATCCATTTTCAGTTGATTTTTATATATGATGTGAGGTAGGGATCCAGCTTCATTCTTTGCATGTGGATATCCAGTTTTCACAGCACCATTTCCTGAAAAGACTATTCTTTTCCCCCATTTAGTGGTCTTGGTACTCTTGTCAAAAATCAATTGACCTTAGATGTATGGCTTTATTTCTGGACTCTTCATTCAATTCCATTGATCTATATGTCTATTCTTATACTAATGTCCCACTGTTTTTATTTGCATTTCCCTAATGACTAATAATGTTGAGCATTTTTTCATGTGCTTGTTGGCCATTTGTTTATCTTTTTCGGAAAAATGTCTATTCAAGTACTTTGCCCATTTTTAAAATTGGGTTGGTTAGTCTTTTTGTTGATAATGATGTCATAGCCAAAGTATACATAAAGAACACTTAAAACTCAACAACAAAGACTAACGACTCACAATGAGACTCCACTTCACTCCTACTAGGATGACTATAATCAAAGCAACAGAAACCAACAAGTGTTGGCAAGCATGTGGAGAAACACTTGTTCATTGCTGGTTGGAATGTGAAATGGTTCAGTCACTGTGAAAAAGTTTGGTAGTTTCTCAGAAACTTAAACATAGAGGCTGAGTGCAGTGGCTCATGCCTGTAATCCTAGCACTCTGGGAGGCTGAGGTGGGAGGATTGCTTGAGGTCAGGAGTTCAAGATCAGCCTGAACAAGAGTGAGCTCTCTCTCCACTAAATATAGAAAAATTAACTGGGCATAATGGCACACCCCTATAATCCCAGCTACTTGGGAGGCTGAGGCAGGACTGCTTGAGCCCAGGAGTTTGAGGTTGCAGTGAGCTATGATTAAGCTACTGCACTTCACAGAGCAAAACTGTCTCAAAAAAAAAAAAAAAAAGTCAAACATAGAATTACCATATGATCTAACAATCCCACTGAGGTGTATGCTCATAACTGAAAACTTACATTCAAACAAAAAACTTATACGTGAATATTCATAGTAGCACTATTCACAATAGCCAAAAGGTAGAAACCACCCAAATGTCCATCAACTGATAAATGGATATACAAAATGTAGTATACCCATACAACAGAATATTATTCTACCATAAAAATGAATGAAATATTGATATGTACTACCAATTAGATAAACTTTGAAAACATTATGCTAAGTGAAAGACAGACATCGACATAGAAGGTCACATATTATAATTCCATTTCTATGAAATGTCCAGAATAGGCAATTCCATAGAGACAGAAAGTAGATTAATGGTTACCAGAGGCTGGGAGGAGGAGAGTAGAAACTAACTGCTTAACAGGTAGTTTCGTAATGGGGTGACGAAAACGTTTTGGAACTATCTAAGAGGTGATGGCTGTACAGCATTGTGAATGTACTAAATGCTACTCAAGTGTACTATCTTAAAGTGCTTAATTTTATATTATATGAGTTTTACCTCAACTAAAAAAAAAACAGTAAGAAAACCGGACACACAATATAATTATAAAAAGAGATATATTTATAAACTAAAAGTTTCCAAACTCTAGCTGGAGGGAGAGGAAGGAAGGAGGTAGTGAGTATGAGCAAGTCCCTTTAGAGCCCAACTTCACTCCTGTAGAAACCCAAAGCACCAGCCCATGGGGTCAGCTTCTGCCCTGTGGCCTATCCCTGTCCCAATCCAAGAAGCAGTCCCCCCACTGGCCACAGCCCTCAGTCTTCTTGCCAGTTATCCTGTGCCCAGGCAGGCATGGGTGAAAAGTACTCAAAGCCTGGCCCTTTATAGCGTAGGGCATGTAGGAACATCACAAGGTCCTGGGGCAAGGGATCGTGTCGTACCAGCTGGCACTCTGCACAGAGTGGATCTGTCTCTTGATTCATAACATCTGTTTCAGCTGCCTTCCCTGGTGCCAAGGCCATTGTGTCCAGATCCTGAGAGGCTGCCTTAACTACTCCTTCCCTCTTCAGGGCAGCTGCAGCTAACTCTTCCAGGCTGTCCTTGCCCATCTCTGAGGAGGTGGCTGTAGAGTCTGCGAGTCCTGGGGACAGGTCACCCTCACAGAGATCTAGCACATCCAGGCTCTGTTTGGCCTGGTGCTCTGCCATCAGGTCCCGCAGCAGTTCCTCATCTGTCTTGGGAATGTGGCCGCCCCGGCCTCGGGAAGGACCCCAGGCAACTGAGTTGTAGATGGGGTCATTGAGAATGGGGTGGCCCAGGAACTGGAGGTGGACTCGGATCTGGTGGGTACGTCCTGTGAGTGGCCGGCACCGTACAACACTGGAGTGTCCATTGTAGCTTAGCCTCTGGAACACTGTCTCACAGGACTTGCCCCGGGGATCTACACGGCACACCCCGACCTTGTAAGACACCACTAAGATGGGTTCCTTGCAGGTCACTTCTTTGGTGGGGAACTCCCCTTCTACCCGGCACACGTATTCCTTCTCCAGCTGCATAGGAGGGAAGAAGGAGAAAGTTAGTACAAAGCCTAAACTCATGGAGTCCAAACCCTCTGCAGAGAAATAAGGAATGCACCAGTGTGAGACAGAAGTAGACTTTGCCACCATTTCTCCACCCTAGCTCCACCATTTGCCAATTTCATGATCCTGGGTACATTACTTACTTAACCTCTATAAATCCCATTAACTCACCTAGAAAATTTGAGATCAGAAAAACATTTACCTTACAGGGCTGTTATAAGCATTTAGTAAGTTAGGCTCTACTAAGCTGGGTATATAGTATGTACTCAATAAAGGTATTACAATTTAGATCCAGAATTACAAGTCTCAAGATGACAATCATTACCATTAAACTCTTCTACCTAAGCTTCTTCCAACTTCATCCACAATCTTTCCACCAAGCAGGTTCTCTCCACAATTTAAAAAACCTTACTCAGTCTGGTTAGCACTTTAAAACTTCAAAACAGCAAATCACCAAGAGAGGCAGTATGTGCAATCTCTAAAGATCTTTTGAAATATATGAGCTAATAACTTGCATTTGGCACTTTAGGAGTTGATCGTCCCAAAGGAAAAAAGTGGCTTGCAGGAGACAAAAGCCTGGCTCACCTGCCGGTCCCGAACCTGCTCGTGAATTCTCTCAGAGACTGCAGCTGTCTTGGCGAACATGAGTACCCCAGAGGTAAGGCGATCAAGCCGATGCAGTGGGTGTAGCTCCTTGAGTTGGTGCTCCTTGCCCAGGATGAATATGACTGTGTTGTGTCGGAAGCGGCCACATGGGTGGACAGGAATGGAGGAAGGCTTGTCTACAACCACCACGTCTTCGTTCTCAGCTAGCAGGCGAATAGGCTCTGCTGTGACTGGCGGCTCATGCCTGTGCACTGTGTTCCGCAAGAAATCATTGTCCTGTCAAAGACATGGGTAACCAGTCAGCCTAGGGGCCAGCAGCCTGTTATGAGGCAACTTCATACCCAGCTCCTCCCGTTCCTTACTGACATGGAAGAATGGTCACAGTACATCCTTAAGTAGAAAAAGTAGTATGCATAGTGTGCTCTCATTTTGTAAAAATACAGACAAACAGGTGGACAGCCGGCATTGCAAAAGTACTGGAAGGGTAGACAAAAAAATGTTAATGGTGTTATCTATGGGTGGTGAGATTATGTCTTTTGGTTTTGCCACCAGGTCCTGTAGCAGTTTCCCGTCTGTCTGGGAATGTGGCCGCCCTGGGCTCGGCCTATGTATTTTCTCTAAAGTTTTACATATATATATATACACACATGTATATAAAAAATTTTTTTGAGACAGAGTCTCACTCTGTTGTCTGGGCTAGAGTGCAGTGGTGTTATTGTAGCTCACTGCAACCTCAAACTCCTGGGTCAAGCAATCCTCCTGCCTCAGCCTTCCGAGTAGCTGGGACTACAGGTGTGCCCCACCACACCCGGCTAATTTTTCTATCTTTTTGTAGAGACAGAGTCTCACTCTTGCTCAGGCTGGTCTCAAACTCCTGGCCTCAAGCAATCCTCCTGCCTCGACTTCCCAAGTGCTAGGATTACAGGTATGAGCCACCTTGCCTGGCCATAAAATTATATTTTTAAAGTAAAAATTTTTTTTTTTGAGACAGAGTCTCACTGTGTTGCCTGGGCTAGAGTGCC